GAGGGAGTTGAAAGCTCACTGGAGAAGTGTTTTCTCATTTCATATTCTGATTTTCTGGCATGTGCTTAGTTCCAGCACCACGGGGAGCAGTTTGATTTGCAGTAATTAGAGTGAGCCATTTGACCAGCTATGTCCCCAATGTGGTGGCAGAGGAGGGGAGGGCTGCTCTTCCTGCCCAGCCCCTTTTGAGTACCACCTCTTATGCTGTTTGTTCTCAACAAAGTGAACAACAGCAACTGTTTCTAACATTATTGAAGACTAAAGGTCTGTTTTCCATAAAGTCATCAATAGCTTTCACATCAATAGCTTTAAAAATCACCAAGGTGATGATTTCACCCATATGCCTTTAAATCAGAGTTGAAACAATGCTGTTTTTACAAGTTCAGAGAGGGGCTAAGGAGATGTCTCAGTGAATAAAGTGCTTGTCATGCAAGCACATAAAAAGCCAGCTGTGGTGGGGCAAGCTTGTAATGTCAGCTCAAGACGGTCAAGATAGCGGAAGCCCAGAGCTTACTGCTTAGCCAACCTTGCTGAAGCTATGAACTCCAGTTTCAGCGACATCCTATCTCAAAAACACAAGGACGAGATTTAGGAAAATTCATGACTTCGGCCTCTGGCTTTCACAGCACAAACATACACACGCACACACATCAGAACACTTACACACATTCAAACAATAAATCCTTAGAGGCATATTAATTAACTGAAAGTTTCAAGAGCCAAACTTCAGCTTGTTCTTTTAGTTTTCTTATAATCAGTGCTGTTGACCATAAAAAGCCCTTCATAATCGTCAGACTCCTGTTCCCACCATCTGCATCACAGGGGTTTATATTAATATAGAGGGTGAAGGAACAATCACTAAGTCTTGGCTTCTACTCACACTGCAAAGCCAATTAAACTAGATCTTAATCATCCATACTGTCATAGCTGAATTCCAGTGGCAATAACTTCATCATCCATGATGAGAGATAAAGGCAAGAAAAACGGTACCCGATATTCTATTCAGAGCTCAGGTTGAATTTATAATCCCACAGTTGGTAGAAATTCCTTTTTGTCTTGAAAAGTGGATAAATGAAAAGCATAAGAAGGGAGTCAGTTATGACCTCTGGAGAGTAATTTTGCCACCAGCTTCCTATCAGTGACAATTGAATAATAGAGCCATCGTTGTTTTATATGCCTTCTATATATATTAATTGTGACATATAATGCTTCTCATTCAGATCGCAGGAAGCAAATGTCCCTTCAGCCTAGATAGAGGCAAGAAATCTCTACCTTTATATGTTCATATAAGTGGAAATCTCTATGCCGTGCCAGGAAAAGAGGAGTGATTGGTGCAAATGTGGATGCTTTCCTGCCTCACACTTAGCACAAGGGGGACGTGTGACAGAGAGAATGGGTGTGGTTTATTGCCTCCAGACAGGCCTATAGTATTGATAAAAATCATGAAGGGAAGTTATTCACACTGCCCGGCCTCATTTTACCTATAATAAGTCCTTAGTGGTGAACTGAAAAACTGATAAAATGATCTTCAAGCCAGACCTCCTACATTACAAAGTCAAATCTGTTCCTCTATGAATAGTTTAAATTCTTTTGAAATATCCACATACTCTCTTGTGAGTGTGAGTGGAGAGCTAGTTTGGAAATTATAAAACTCCCTGCAATGATCTGTGTAACGTAATTTATACTTAAACACCTATCATATTCCTTTAAAAGAGTCTGGAATGTTGTATAATAATGCAAATAACACCCACCACAGATTAGTTCTATTCCCTATGAAAAATAAATTAGAAATTCACTTGAAGTCTAATAATATGTTGCGCTTATTTTAGGACAAGCTGATTTTTTTTCTATGATTCTGATTACTTACACTCCCTAAAATTAAGATTTTTCTGCAGTGATTAAATATGTGTGGTTGAACTGTTTAAGCAATCTGAACAACAATAATGGCTATTCAAAAGTGAATGCCAAATCATAGTGTTTCCACAATTTTGCTTCTAACAATAACTCAGGGAGCTGGGAGTGTGCCCAACTCATCAAATCCTCGTGCAATGAGGCCGTTCTTGTTTTGTTAATTGGGCTGTGGGTTTTTACTCTCTGAATTTGTATAAGATGTTCTGGAGAATGTTTACCATGTGAGCACTGGAATATTATTTTAAAATACCTTGGATATATTTCTACCCAAAATAAGTATATTGTTTCAAAATTACATAATGCATATTAAAAGTAGAGTGTAAATCCTGGTAAAAAGAGATAAGGTATTGTTAATGATCAGTAGTTTGTTCAAATGTTAGACTTTTATATTTTATCTACCAAGCTATGCATCTATCTAATATAAAGTGAAGCATAATCTACACATTACACACACACACACACACACACACACACACACACACACACGTATAATATAATATATGTACAGTTTGTGTATTAAACATGTATATAGATATAAAATAACATGGGTTGTTGTATATACTATAGAGAATATAATATTGCATATTATATATACATATTATACATTATTTATGTTTATATGTACTAATATATAACAATATTTGTGTGTGAAAAACTACATATATAATCATATTAGAATTCATAATAAATAAAGACCAAGTCACTTCAAAAGCCTGAAATACATTTCTTTTTTTTTTTTTTTAATCAAATTTTTTTATTTGGTGGGGGTGTTTTGAGACAGGGTTTCTCTGTGTAGCTTTGTGCCTTTCCTGGAACTCACTCTGTAGCCCAGGCTGGCCTCGAACTCACAGAGATCTGCCTGGCTCTTCCTCCCCAGTGCTGGGACTAAAGGCATGTGCCACCACCGCCCGGCTGAAATGCATTTCTAAAGCTAAAGTTTAAAAATACAAGATGGGTTATGGGAGGAATTTAGAAAGGTTTAGAGATTCTGGCTAGAAACAGCTAAGAATGATGATGGCAGGACTTAGTGAATGAGTTTAGTGGGACTTCAGAAGACAAGAATGCTAAAAGAAATGTGGATAGTCAAGGGCAGCTTCAAGAAGTTTCAGGTGATAAAACAATGCCTATTGGAAATTGGACTAATAGTCATTTGTGTTATATCTTGCAAAGGATTTGTCTATATTTTGCCCATGTCTCGAAGATTTGAGTGAGGTTGAATTAAAAAGCAATGGATTAATTAATTTGATCTGATAAATCCCATATGAGCATAGCACTCAAGCTGTTGCGTGGTTATTGCTGGCTGCTCTAGCCATGTTCACAATGTGAGTTGGGAATAACGTAGTTGAAAGTGTGAAATGCATGGAATCAAGAAACGACCTTGAGTGAGGGCTCCTGCCACTGCATCCAAGACCCATGGATGTTTCACTCTAGCCTCTGTGGCTTTTCATGTGGACTTGACACAATTCTAACCGTGTTCCTTCAGATCGTCAGTATCAGATGGAATTGCTGAGGCTTCCAGTGTATTGGCCTAAGTGTCTACCTGGTTCTTTCCTCTCAAGTGTGATAGCCATTATTGACTTAACCAGCTTCCTGTAGTGTAGCCCATTTTCTACATCCTGGTTCCCTAAAGAATCTTGAACAATGAAGCAGTTTTCATTCTTTTCCTTCTTAGTGCTGGGTTTATGTAAAGATTCTTGTCGAGTGCCAGCTAGTGGAAGTCAGTCCCTTCAGTTTCTGCTTATCTGGGATAGACTTTATTTCTTCTAATATTTAGATGGAAAAATGATAGTAATGGTCTTCTTGGGAGATAAGTTGGGATTTCTTGGCTGTTTGTTTCTTTTCTTTCAGCACTTTTAATATATTTTCCATTTTGTCTTGGCTTGTAGATTTATTTTTCATGAGTG